TGTCAGCGCACCTAAAGCAGGTGCTTTAAAGCAGTTGCATTAAAGCAACTGCTTAATCAGTCTACCACATTCCCATAGCTACACATAGGATGTAACTGATTTTCTAAATATACAGCAACCAACTAAAAAAAACTTTTCTTAAGAATTGTATATCCTTTAATATACTATCACACTTAGATATTATTGTAATATTGCACAAGTACTTTGTTCATCCCTTCAGAGTTCAGAGTGGGTATGTATTAATGATAAAAGTAAAACAAAGCTTGATCTGAATGTCTGAAAAGGTCTACAGTTTAGTGATAAAACAAGGAAGCGGAAAGAGGGTTGTTAGGTTCGTATTTGGAAGGTGACGTTATCCCAGTGCCCAAGTTTACATGATGAGGCAATGGGAAAATGAATGAGTAATCCACAACTGGCCCTTATTTGCATGCAAGTTATTCCATTCTCATATTGAATCCATGTTGGCTGAGGAAACAAGTGAGATGAGGAAAAATTGAGCTTCCTGCACCACACAGGTTACTTACCCCTTGGCTAGTGAGAGTCTCCATCTCTTTCAGCATATCTGGCCAATGCTGAGGCCATTCTCTTTTTATCATTTCCACAACTATTCGTGACAGGGCATCTTTGATGTGGCTCTCCTCGTCCAAGATCGAATGAGTACCCTGAAAAGAGACAATAGAAGGCATCAGAGCAGTACAACTGTGAACTGTGAAGTGAAGCGTCTTTCACAAATCACACTTACATTTGATAACAGCTGCATGGCGCACTCCTTCAGGTGGACTTTCTCCTGTTGCTGCATGTCGTTCCATCTGAATCTGCAGGGAGACATTAGCTTTCTGTCAAACATGGATCCCTTATCATGCTTTTTCCCTATTACATTTACCTTAGTCACCTTCTACTTACTTGATGATATGCTCCAGGATTTGCAAACCAAAGTGTCTCACTACTGCTGGCTGGGCTTTGTCAGCTAATTGTAAGCCACATGGGACACACAAGGAGCTCGTCTCTTTAAACTCTTCACAAAACTGAAGAGAAGAAAAAAGAAACCGCGTAATTTTAAAGATTAGGAAATGTTATAAGACTTTAAACGAACAGTTTTGTGAACCCACCACTACCATACACGTGTAATATGTCAGATAGCAACAGCTAATTCACAAACATTCATATAAATACTTGGATAGCAGAATGCTAATCTAGCAGCTAGGGTTAGAGTTATTCTTGGGGGCAGAATTACTCGGAATTGGTTAACTAGCCTCATTAAATCGAGCTCTGTCTTTTCACCATGTGGTTAATGGCATGAATATGAGTCCACAGGGGCTCTGGTGTTGAGGTGATAATTGTGGCATGCCGGCTAGCTCGTAAAGCATATGGCTATCATCATTGCAGGTTAAACCAACATACATGAACCGTATAAACAGCGCTGTTACTAGGAAACTACGTATAATAGCCCAATTTATCTAGCTAAGCCAGTACATTATCCTCCTTTCACAAATGAATGACAAGCTCAGCAAACTTAGCGGCTAGCTAGCAAGCGTTAACGAAGCTACCTTTAGGGCCTCCAGTCGGTAAATTTGACTTGTTTCTGCGTCCATAATCACATTCACAGCTTTCACAAGCTGATCACACATGGCGGCCACCTGGTCAGCCATGACTTCAAGTAGCGTCTAACACACTGTTGAGGCGAAAGCAACTCCCTTATGCAAAGCACCTGCAGTACAGTGAGACGAGCGATACACTCAGTGAGGTACCAACGTGTACAGAATGTGCTGCTGTTGCTTCTCCTGCCGCTACTCGCGCGTTTGAACACTTTGCTCGCCGTTGAGTGAGAATTCTGGGAGTTGTAGTCTAAGATTTTTTTTAAAGATCGTCTATATAAATCTAAGCCATCACCTCTGAAACTATTATATTCATTAGCTACTTGAATTAAAAAAAATGTAAAAATGAAGCAAACAGTATGGTTTACTTACAAAACTAAAAAATAAATAAATAAATAAATCAAAGTACAGGAAATGTCTTCATCTCGCATTAGAAGTCATTACATATATGTTTAATGAGACCAGGATGTCTAAGATAACATAAAAGACCTTCTATTAGTCCCACAGTTGGGAAATTCGCATGATGACAGCAGCAAAATCAAAAGAGCAGGAATACAACAAATAGATTCCGTAATAAACAGTTATTAATTACTTACAAAAAATAATCTTTAACTATAATTCTACATAAAAGTACAGGCAGGAAAATTTTACACGTGTTTGGAAGTATGGCGATATATAGGAAAGAAGGGAGTGGGCTTTTTAACCAGAAAACACAATCCTGGAAAGTGTGAGGATGCCCGAGGAGTGGGAAAAAAGTTTACTAATACTGAGTTTCAAGTTAAAGGGTGATGTGCAGAGCTGTAGCCGTAGACGGATAAGGTTGATGAGCTATAACACGAAGTTATAGGAAAGAGTTGTTGAAGCTAGGGGATGGGGATGGGATTACATCAGAAATGTAGGAAGTCCCAGTGGTAATGAACAGGATGGCAGATGAGGTCAGGCAGGAGACTCTGTAGACTATAATGTTTGCAGACGACACTGTAATCTGAAGTGAGAGTATAAGAAGAGAAGAAAGAACTCTTCTGATTCATGATATACAGTGAGGCCATATGGGGTTTAGATGAAGCCAGGTAGAAATTTTTATTTCAGTATAAATCCTGATTACAGCTCTTATCTGAAGCAAGTTACATTTTCCCAAGTTACATTAGGTGTTGCTTGTTTATATGCTCTTAGTCAGCTAACTGGTCATATTAACTTTAATAATTATTCTTTTTTCATTCGTTAAGTTGCCATCTTTAATAATTAATGCTTTTACTGAACCAAACAGTTTCGCAGCTCTTTCACCTTCACCTTTCAGTTTGTGATTACTGGCGGAGTGATACATCTTAAGTATGTCCTGGCGATGAATCATTCCTACCTCTGCTCTTTTAAGTTTAATCTGCTGCTGAGAAACTGCTGAACACACTGAATGTTTGGTTTTGTTTTTTTGCACATGGTTTCAATATTAAGCGTGCGATTCTGATATTAAGACAGAAGTCAAGGCACAAAGTATACAAGTCTAGCCGGTGGGGGTGTTTTATGCTCCGGCAGGGGCGGAGCTTGAATTCCAAAGTGGAATGAGTTTCCTCTCGCTACGTCACTCTGGGATAGGCTGCCTGCGGGCGACCGAGCTACGCTGTCATTCCACTGGGTTTCGAGACGATTACCTACGTATTTTCTTGGTGAGTAAAACCTTAAAAAAATATTATTAAGTATTTCCATTTAAACGCGTGTGTGTATCCCCACTCACAAACCTTGTTTTTTTTTATTTACGTCGATCCTCGCGCTCGCTTTTGCGAGCATTACAAAGTTTTAAAGCGATGCTCGCGCAACCACAACGGAAACTTTTGCCGTGAAGGCCTCGTTATCTGGTGCAACAGGTCTACGACACGAGATGCAGTTCACTTTAGTGCTATTTGTTTTTGTATTCTTTTTATTTTTTGTCGAATTTTAGAGCGTAACCATGTTTTGTTGTGTTGTCCTTTTTTAACGCAGGACTGGATCCCCCCCCCCTCCCTAAGAAGGAGAAAGTAGCCTTGCCTGTCGCGGCTTTAGGCTCTGGGATTACAGCGATCGCCAGTCCCAACAGCCTTCGTCGAAACTGCCAGCGGGGATTCATGCTGTGTGCGTTAGCTAAATGCGGTACGAAGCTAAAATGATGCCGGTGAGTTTTATTTTATTTTCATGGCTATAAGTTTTAACCTTGTCCCATTGCGCAATCCCCCAGTTTTCGATATTGTATCACGCTGCGGCGCTATCATTGTGAATTACCTGGGCATTTAAATTGAGGTGGTAAATTGATGCGGTTGCTACTTTGTGTCATTACTATGTCGACACAGCCGTCTGTTGTGAAGTTTATTGGCTACCATAGATGCTTGTGTTTGCGTTAGTGTGTTTCCCCCATGTGATTTTACACTCATACAAGACTTAGTCACCTATAAACCAGTCGTAATTGGTTTATAGTCGTAAATGTATTGTCGGTATATAGGCAGGATTCACCTGTCAGTTCTTGGCTGGCACTGGACCTATCCTCAGCTCTGGACTCCTGCCATGTCAGCCCCATCATCTTCAACATCATCAGAGGTTCATTGCTTTTGCTGCAGTGCAAGGCTCTCTCTCTTTCTCAGCACTATCTTAGATGTGTGGATAGGGCAGCACACAGCAGTCTGCCTGCATATGTGCAGTGTAGAGAAACAACCTTCCTAACAAGTAGAAATGGTGATTAATGAGTAACCCCCCAAACTAGTAAACATTTAACCCTGGCATATTTTCTAATTACCCAAATGTTTCATGGAAAATGGAGCTGCAACTAAGAAACAGTTTCCCAATCAGTCTGTGGATATTTGTTTTGATTCTTGCAAGCTGAAATGATTATAGACTTTTTCAATATTTTTTTCATAGCAAAATACAATACAGACTTTATAAACCAAAATAAGAAAACAATTAACCGTACTTCTCAAACCTTGCCCACTCTACCCCTGTAATACCAAATCAAGGATATGAACAGAGTTAGAGGTCACTGACATATTTTCTCAGTAAGGTATAAAAATAAATGGTAATTTTGTGACATACATGAAGTAAACTAATAACATTACAGTTAGGTGTTAGTAACAACAGTTGCCATGCTTTCAGCAAAGGATTTAAATGATTTCCAGGTAGCATAGGAAGTGATTTAATCTTTTATCAAAATAGTTTAGTTTTCTTTGTGTTATTTTATGAACAGACTGTTTTAGCACTGTCTACCACAATTTTCTTTAAAATTTACCATGTTTCATTAAAAATAAATTCTACTTTATTCATTCCCAATTTTGGGAGAAGAAAACTTGAGGTGGTAAGTTGATGCAAAATTGTTTAAGTAAAGTAGGATAACTATAAAGTAACTACCATATGGCAAAACAAAACACCTCAGGGAAAAGGGATGATATAAAATAATATTAATAATAACTTTCAAAAAGTAGCTAAACCTGTTATTTCTATATTTTTTCCTTTAGTTTATGTCTTTAATTCTGATTTGAATAATTCAGATAACTATGATAGATGGTCATATTTTCATTTTGTCTTATTGGGAACAGCTGATGACAGCTGTTCACAATATGTGTAGGATCTACTACTGTGGCCCTTCTCTCCTCAAACCTGTGCTACCTGTGTTCTTTCATTGAATTAATCATCTTAGCAGTGGAGAGAGTCGTGTTCGGACGACTCTTGTCTGGCGCATGACCTCAGTCTGCTACTGGCACATACTTGTTTGTTATTGCCAAGCTCGTTCCTAGTGGATACTGATATAAACTGTCACCCTTACATAACAGAGCTGTTTCTTTATTGGCCCTTAATAATTACCCCGTTTGCTCCATCTCTGTCACCTGAGGATATCTTTCTATGTCCTTTTGCTGTAAATAGGATACGGCTCCTGCTGCTCGCTGATAAACACAAACTGGTCTTTATGTAGATGTGTCTGATGTGAGGTATTGTTTTATAAATTACACCAATAGCCCATGACCCTGCTCGTGCAGGCTAGGGGCTTGTGGGGTAGTGAGAATGGAGTGTCGTAATTGCTTGCTGGGATGGTAAATAGGGGGTCACTGTTTCCTGAGCACAATGGGCTGCAGGGACTCTTTAGCAGTGTGCTGTGGTGGGTACATTGTGTGTGTTTGCCTGTGCTGTGCCAATACCCTGATAAGTGATGTTCACCATTAATTAAACTGTGGCATGGAATAACTCATTTACTCCTGATTTACTTTATCTCTCCTGAAACCAGCCTTTGTTCTGCACACATGAATTAATGTCACATTTAGGCTTGGATTCTCTGCTGGTTTATTAGCCCATATTTTCTCTTTGTCCACTTTTTGACAAGATTAATTATACTCTATTGACAACATAAAATAACAGAAACCAAGCTGGAAGAATACATTTTGTTTGTTTTGTTGTGGGTTTTTTGTGGGTGTTTTGTGTTTTCGCTTCACATACCAAACACTTCCTCATTCCTCTCCCATGATGCATATTGCTTCGGTGTGTAGATTTTCAAACAGATACAATTTTGTGCACCTGGCTTACATTATTTAGTTTTTCATTCTTTCACTGCTCACATTTGTACCGTGTCTTGGTTCCACATCATCAAATCTCAGTGTGCCTAGACTTTATGGTGGTGCTTTGATGGTGGAAAAGTGAGCTAATGCTGTGGGAAGCCTGATTTTGCTGTATGTGTCAACAGAAACCTGAGCAGGCTTTCTCTTTGAGTGCCACAGGCTTTGTGTTTACTCTGTGGGAGAGTTGTGTTGGTTACATAAGCAGATAGTCACATGTGATAGACAAGGATGTTCATGTTTTGACTTTATCCTTAAGAAGAAGATTGATAGGAAGACCTTTGTTAGCTGAGAACAGTTGTGTAAAAACACAGTAGGCCTGTAATATTTTGTTTTTTCATCAAAGGAGTGCACAAAATAATTTCTAAGGTGAAGAGGAAGTTCTTGTGAATGGTTGAACGCTCTGGTGACCATGTTGTTTACAACCACAGGTCTTATAGAGAAGCTGAATAATCTTCTTGAATGCATACTGTTAGATTGTGCTGTGCACCAGTGCCTCAACAACAACTCTACATTCACCTGGTTTCTGAGAGGAATCACCTGAGCTGGTGTCAGATTACAGTAATTGAATACAAAGTCGCTCACTGGGAATGATCCATTTGAAAAGGATAAATGTACATTAAAGTGGTGCAAAATTTCAGTAGAACTCACTTTCACATTAGACAGTTCTCTGACTAATGTTGAGCTGCTGAATGAACAGGGAGGTTGTGTGGGGTATAGGTAACGTCAGGAAGCAAAATGTCCTTTTGTATAAATCGTTAATATAGCTGACCCCTATCTCAATGATAAGGGAAATGAATAAACAGGATGCAGTTCCTTTTTTTTGACACAGGATGTTTTTTGTTTGATGGCAAATATTCATTTTGCTTTATCACCAGTACGGTACATAGATTTATTGATAATGGTAGTTATGACATGTGTGAAGGAACAAAAGATTTAAACTAGAAGTTTTGGTCAGTTTTCACATTGCATTTACTTAACACGGGAAGAGACTAGCAGCGAAGCTAAGACTGTAGATAATAAGTGACATTCAGTAACTTCAAGGAGCAATGGGTGGAGAAAAAAAAATGGTGACAACCCAGATTGGGTGGATCCAGCTTTAAGGGCAGTCTATAAGGGCAGTCTACACAGGAAGCTATTTGTCATGCAATTGTCCCTGACGGTTGGTTGCTATGTAGATACCCCCTATATAATGTATTTACCACCCCATCATATATCAATCACTGGTATTCTTTGCTCTCAAAATTGAACAAAAGTTTAGCTCGGGAATCATCCACTGGCTTTTTGGTCTATCACTGCTTGAAGTTGATGAATACAAGAGATGCTCTTTGGTCTCTGGTTGCCAAATTCCTGCTAGTCATCTACTTTGTTAAAGTAGTCAAGTGTTGACCAGAGAACGTACAACAACTTCAAGTGTTGATGGGCAAAATAGCTGATGACACAAAGCTCTCCGTTATTTCCGTTGCTGCAGGGACTTTTTGGTGGAAACAAATTGTATAATTTAGTCCTGAAAAGTTCCTCTAGTAGCAAAGGTCTTCTGTACTGGTAAGACTACAGTCATTCACTCTGCTGCTTCACCAAGGTTTCATTTTTACATATGCCTGATTAAAGGTCACAAAGGCATCATTCACTGCTACATTTTGAATCGCATTTGTTTTTTGCATAAAATAAGAGTTGATAAAGGGTAAGTTTTCTTGCAGTTAAATCCCACACAGTGGGCATTTTTATTCAGTTTTTGTTGCACTCTTCATATTTTAAGTATCTGTATTTTCTATAATAACTTTCAGGCTGTGACTAGTTCTCGGAACATCTTCATCCAAGAGTCATGAGGCATTGGAAAAGGGGGAAAAAAAAAAGGATGCATCCTTTCCTTTCTGCTTAATTTTGACTCCCATTTCCCTTATCTCCCAGATAAGCCGAAAGTAGGAACTCTCTCATCACGTAGACCAAAAATAGAAGAGCATTGCAAGACCGCAGACTATGAAGTGATAGGCTAAGTACTGCAGTGCAGACATAGAGAAGAGGCTTTTGTGATGGAAGCTTTCTGCAGCTTCATGTACTGTAAAAGCTGCTCCCCCCCGAATGTTGCAGCTGAATAAGACTACTGTGCTTTTTGCTGTTTGTTACCCCTGACCTTTTCTCCCGTGCCACCTCATCCCTCTAATGCAACACAGAAAATGAGGGAGAGGGAACACGAGATGAAGAGATATAATGCATAGAGCCGTTTCAGTTTCATAGAGTTTTATGCTGCCTCGCCTTTTTGAAGAACTGCTAATCTGGAACTGTGTCAGGCAGAGAGAACTAAGGCACGCACACACAGGAAGATGCTGCTGCAGTGTCTTACAAACCTTTGCTAATTAGATTCAGAGGTGACTCCGTCAACAAGACTTAGTTGACTCATTCGCTTACTACAGCAATATCTGTAATTGAAAGTGTGTGTGGACAGAAGGTCCAGCACCCCTTAGGTGAAGTGCCTTCGGGCATACTTGAAGATATGGCTTCTGTTATCCTCTGCTGCTATCATACTATCCACTTTCCCAGCCACTCCATTTCCCCTAAGGCATTGTGTTACATGTTCCATATG